AGGAGTGCCCTGAGCGTTAAGGCTATGCAGTCCAAGCTGTGTCTGTGAGAGTCTATCCAGAGGAAACATGCAGTATTTTCTTGGAGCTCAGGATACGAGACAAAACAGGGAACTGAGCATGAGCTCTCTAATGTACTAGCATGCTGCAGCTGTAGGAGCAACAAGGATAAAATGGTACAACAACAACAGAAAAACAAGAGAAATCATCCACAGATCCAAGTGCCAGGTTAGAACTAATTACTCGCATAGCTGTTACTCTCCACGGTATGGACAACTGCTGTTAAAAACTCTCCGTGTATTAGTGTAAATATACATATGTGTGTATATATATGTATTTCAGGAAATCATGTTGGAATTTGCATTATTACCTTTATGTTATTTTACCATTAAAAGCTGTTGTACATTGTTAACTAAAACAGTAATATTTCATTGCATATTAGTGGACCATCTACCAACCATGGACAAGTAAGTAGTCCACGTGAAAGTTTCGTGAATAGCACTGTAAAGATACCATTGTGATAACAGTTACTTAGTAGAACATACAGACTTACTCATCAGTAATTTATAAAGCAAGCAGGAAAGCTGAATTTGTAACATATCTTCATTGCAATAAAGAGTTTGACTGAATGGCTTTGGCAGTCTTTCTTCTTTAAAATAACCAGTGCAGATGTACGAGAGATACAGAATGACTGGTAAGCATTTAAGGGTTTTATTTCCTAGATAATTGCACAGCAAATCTAGCCAAGTTTCAGATCTTTCCTAGGCCCTGTATGTATTTCAGTGTATACACAGGACTCTACAGAGTATTAAATAATTTCTGTAAATTATGTTCAGAACCAATTCAGATGATAACAACTGAGGAGCCCTCTTTTAGATAGTGGGAGATAAAAATGCTTTTTAAGGAAAAAAGTAGCGTTAATTTGAAGACGTGTTTAGTTAGTGTACAAGGGAAAGTAATAGGAATATAGTACTGTGAACAGTCCGTGTGCAGATATCCTGCTCCTCATTTGAATTATTTGTATTTGCTCCCATTGCTGTTAGCACCAAGGACTTTCAAGGACAGATTGTCCACAGTAATAGAATAAAGATTGAAAAACAGCCCTGATGTGGAAACCTGTATAACGTGGAAAGTAGAAGCAAGGCCTGTGGCTATCTGCCAGACGGCAAGCAGGCGAGTTAGTTATCACTAGAAACGATGCCATGTCGCTTAAAGAGTGTTGCTGGCTGCAGATCCCAGACTGCTGCACTAAACCATTTGCTCGCTGGAGTTCTCGTTCTGATAAGGAGGATTTTATAGGCTGTGTGGATCAGACTTACCATCTGAGATATTGTTGGTTCCTGTCTTCTGCAGTGATACTATAACTTGCTATTGATAGCGGAGAGTTGGAGCCAGACCGGGAGGAAACCCTGAGGCCTGTGTTGCAGGCCTTGAGTAACTAACTAATAGCTAACTAGCTGTGGCAGAGACTGATGTGAGGCCCCGGAGCTTCACGGGAAGTGTGGGAGGGGATTGCACATTGTTCCCTTTCAAATAGCCCTATTTTTACGCATTTGGGGCTCTGTAGGTTTGCTCAGTTTTTACAAGGTTTCATCATCCTTCTGAGAGAGGCGGCTTGCTCTCCCAGCCTGGCTGGCCCACACCGAAGGCTTTTGCTGAGCAAGAGCAAGAATGATCATGGCTGTCTCGCCCGTCCCACTGCCTCCGAGGGCTGGGAATCCACATGGCGGGTTGCAAAGCCCTTCCAGAGACACCGGGTCCTTGTGCTCTCCCTCCTCTTTTGCTTCATACAGCTTGTTGTAAGCCAGGACTTTCCTCCTGTGTCGTAGGCTGGGAAGTCTGTGCTGATTTCCTGACAACAGCAAGTACTGGAATATAATAAACTGTGGATAAAATGCACTCCTTTTCAGCAGCCCCAGCAAACCCAAGCGCAACAGAGCAGTGTTGTTTCAGGCAAAGAGGTGGGTTTGGATGCAGAGCTCATGCTTTCAGGAGCCATGAGCGTGCGCGAGGGGTGGAGGAGGCTGGATGCGGATCCCCGGCAGACGGCGTTCTCCAAAGAGCCAAGGGGACCGGTGGCGCGCGGCCGGGGGAGCTTGCTGGGGCCCCGCGCGGGGGCCCCTTCCGTCGGCCCTCTCTTCCCACTGCCTTCCCTCTGGGGAACTGGGAGACTTGGCTGTTGGATCTTCTTTGGAGATCCACTTTCTGCACTGTAAACATCATGGCTTTCGAAAGAGGAGCCTGTAGCAAGATATTTGGAAATTACTTCTGTTCACTGTTCTTTTGCTGGTAAGCACAAAGTGTGAATTTAATAAAAGTTCTCATGCATGGGGATCTCAGCAGCAGACTTTGTTTGAACTCTGTAGTCTTTATAGTTACCTTTTTTTCTGCTAATCTCCAATCTCTGTTGCGTTCTAATAACAATATGGGAACCAACTGCTAGTCAAGGAATACCTTTTGCATTCAGTTTTCTGGTTAAAATAACAGTTGGAATTTGGAACTGTATGACCCTCACCAAGCATTCGGTTTTTCTGTGTGTGATTTAATATTGTCCCGAAAACAAGAGAACTCATTCTGTACTGCAGGGCACTTGGAAATGCAGTGTGCAGCCAAAGAGTTCACTAACACCAGGACAAGTTATCAGGTATCAGCTACTCAGAGGTCGCTGCCTCTGTGCAGGTTTTTACTCCATGGCACACGTAAAGAAGATAAGCTGCCTTCTGTGTGCCTTGGGGTAAAAGCAGGTACAGGGACAATTATGGCACAGCCATTGAAACATGGTAATGTCTTTGCTGTACAGTGACATATCAAATCACTGAAGTCTATTACAGGTCATTTCTTTTTTATTTTAGGGTATCACATTGGGAGCACACTGGCAGTTTAATTTGATGCTTGTATTAGAGCAGACTACCTTATAAGGCTTAGAGAAATAGATGCCCAGTGGGGACTGTGTCATTTTATCTGTGCATTTCAGGATCTTCAGAGGAAAAAGAATAGATCTTTTACTACCTTAACATTACAGTGAGCATTTGCTTTATTTCTCTGGAGGAGAGCATAGAGAAAACTAGACGTGGCACTGACTGCAAATTAATTCTTTTTTGTTAATTGGTCTGCACAGTGAAAAAACTCAGAATCTAAGATCGCTGAGCGAACATCATAGCAAAACTCCAGTAAAGCTCTCATTGAATCTTGTTGGTCTTCTGGCTAGCAGCGTTATCAGTCATTTCAAGTTGTTTCTGCTTATCTACTACTTCCTTAATGAATATTTCAAAGATTCGGGTTAAAAATTTTTGAGTATTTAAAGTACAAGATAGAATACAGTATTCAACTATATATTCATCCCAGTTTTGATGCCTTTCAATGTACCAACTAGTAGAATCACGTAATAAAATTTTGATAGGAAATTTCTGTAATTGAAACCACCTTGTAATGCCACTTTGTGTCAAGTATTCCATCTCTCTGACCTCATTAGGTGTGCCTAGTTATTAGATACAGTGTTACTAAAGAGTTTTAACTTAAAAGCTGCTTTGATTAATGTTTGGTTGGACTGAGGTTTTACTGTGTAGGATTAACTAGATTTAAAAATGGCAAAATGGCATAGCAGCATTAATGCCAGACTTTAATGAGAAGCAGAAGTAAGCTAAACTCATGTTCTCATTATTTTTATGTCCTGTCCTATTGCCACTACTATTCCTAGTGAATAGTAGCCTAGGTAGCATATTACTCACAAATACGTGATCTTAACGATATCCATACATTTTTAATGAATCTTAAATATTGTTAATTTTAAAATCAGATGCATATCTCAACCTTATTATCCAACACAGAAAAATGTTTCATATTGATTTGAGCCTTTTTAGTTAAGAAACAATATGGAAGTAAGACGAGGTCATACTGGCAAACATTTCTCTCAATTAAGACTATTCTATCAGTGTAGTTGAAAAATACACTTTACACCTTTTTGTGTTATCTGCTACTTGAATTTTGTTTTACTCTCATCTTCATAAGTGAATTTAGTTCTCCGGAAAGTTTAGAGTTGGCAGCTCTAGAGAACTACATCCCTAGTTTTTTCCATTGATCACAAATTGCAGTGTGATACTGCTGATAAAACCCAGACAATTCTCACTCAAGACAATGTTCAGTCATCTCCTTAAATCCTACTAAAGTATATAGGATTTAAGTATATGCTTAAAAGGTAAGTCAGTGCTGAAGCAGGGCTTTTGTAGATTTTCAGTCCGTTATATCTTTGCTGAGATAATGAAAAGGCTCTGAATAGGAAACAGTTTCCTCATCTCAGGAGTCTGAGAATTCTTTTTCCTGCCTTGATCTCGATTTCCTGACTTGGGTTGTTTTTCAGAAGCAGTGAACTTCAAATATGGTAGTTTTGGACAAAAAACGTGTAATGAAGTTTTGGTTTCTACATAGTGATATACAGTGAGAATTAAGCACTGTACGCTCATAAGCAATAGTAGCAGCTCTTCACAGAGGTGGCATTGTTTCTGCCGAAGCATGTAGGACTGTATCCAAACAAATACTTGGGCTGTAATGTCTGATTTCTCATTGAAATCATGGATATATTGGACTTGATTTAAATGGGATTACTCACTCAAGCAAATTTACGCAAGGGTCTAAGGCACAAATCCAGCTTTCAGTGAGTTAGGAGTCTACGTACATGCTTGTTTGGCTCTGGGCCCTAGGCCTGGAGCATAACTTTGCTTGCGTGAGTTATCGTGTTGAAATTGAGACCTACATAAACATTGTTACTCATACCAGCAAAATTGTGTGCGTGGACAAGTGTTGACAGCCAGGGATCCAACTTCCTTTTCTACCATATTGAAAAGTTCTGTTTCCAGTGATGACTGAAATTTATTAACTAATCATTGCATTTACACTCCCCATTGATAATTCCCTGGTCACTGAGTTTTCTGACTACCTTCTAATATTACCTCTGTATTCCTTTCTTAGTTGACCTATTCATGTTATGTTGTTTTTTCTTGTTTAGGAAGAAGGACGACAAAAACAAAGGACAAGAAAAAGAAGAAAAAGAATTTGATGGAAAGGGCTCAGAAGCAGCACAGCATCTTTCTAGCTACAGATAAAACAAGCCAGTAGAGACTTGATTTTTTTAATATATATTTTGCAAAGTGCACAAAAGCTGCTATATGCTCCTGCCCATGGATGCACTACGATTCAGCTGCTTTGACAGTATTGGTGGCAAATAACTTGTGAAAAAAGCCCACAAGCTTGTTTGTTTTATTTATATGTTTTTTATTTTATTTTTCTCTCTTATTTTTGACCTGGAGACTTCAAGGTCAGGAGTGCACTGCGTTGAATCAGTGGAGGCGGTGCTGAAGTGTGTCAAAGGTTTAGTTTGAGTGCCTGGCCAACATGTTGACATGGAATGGAAGCAGGAAAGAAATCTACACGTCACCATCAGGCACACTTGTGCGTATTTAAATAACGAAGAGGAAGTCTTGGAGGTGTAGGGACTATTGCATTTATGGCCTTTGTTTCCTGTATTTGTACATTTCAAGAGTAAATGGATATGACTTATCTACTTAGCGTTAATGTGCATTGTTCTCAGCACCTGTTACATTGAAACAGCTGTATAATAAAACTGCTTTAAGACAATATACCACAGGAATTACTGTTTAGAGTTTCAGAAGCACAACAGACCCTATGTGTACATATTACTCTGTATACATATAAATAAACATATTTACTGTACATCTATGCATTTTAATGTATAATACATTATACATGTTTAAAGTTATGTCCTGTTGGTTCCAGTAATATGCTTTAAAATAATCCAGTACATGTTTACTTTTTACTATGTTTTAAATATCTTTTCATATTTCTCAATAGTTACAAACCAGATTTTTTCTCATTTCTAAAGTACATTCGGATGGCTAAACTACCTTGTAGTGACCCTCACAGTGGAGCGTCAGCTCTGAAATATACTTGCCAGACTTGTAAAACTCAAGTCTTCTCTGCTATTCTGTACTCCTATCTAAGCCCCAAGCTCAGCAAAAAGAAGTGTAGCTTTTTTAAGATGAGGCGTGATGATGATAGATGTTTTGAGTGTCAGGAAGAAAATTATATGGAAAGCTCTTGGTATCTAAGATTATGTGTGTAGCTTTTCAAATATAACACACCACGTTTTATTTCTATTAGCCCTAGTCCGGTCCAGTGCAGCAACTGAGTACCTAAATAAGGGAGAAATGCAAGAAAAGTCTATGTAAATTCATAAGTATAGCAAACACCAGTCCCAGTTCCCAGTGCTGCCAGTTATTTATAGAAGTTCCTCATATCTAATCTGCATCTGTTTATTTTTGCGTTTTCCTTGTAGGGAAGTAAAAATGGCTCAGGATGTGTAAACTAGTAGTCTTGCGTTATTGGGCTTGCATTCAAGGAGATTTTTGAAAGTCTGCCTGTAAAAGTCTACATGAAAATGGCTGTAATTTCTGCTGTCACTTACAGAAGTTATTCCAGTTCTAGGACTAAAACTCTAATTGTATTGTTACCTTCACAAACCAAGGAAAAGGTAAAACAGACCCCTAAAAATCTTTTTGTCATAGACTTCAGAAAAATCGCACAGCTCTCACAATTTTAATTTTATGAGTTTTATTCTTTAGAAATAAATTAGGGAAATAAAGCATCTGTAAGCACAAATATATCCATACATAGCTAGGAGAAGTGTTGCTACAAAAAAGCGCAGTATTTAGCCACATACGAATGTTCTATGAAACTGCTTGTGGACGTCCACTTAAACATGAAGTTTTCACCTTCTCTCATTTAGAGTATGTTCGTATTTACCTAGAGCATAATATTGTTAAGGACAGTAAGATTGTTTTGATCCTGGGCTGCTATTTTGAACTTCAAATGGTTTACTTTAAAAATAAGGACAGTAAGAACTGTGGCTGCCTGTCTGCTTACTGTCTGGTTATCAAATTTGGCTGCAAGTGCAGTGAATATCCACATAAAATCCTTCTAGTAGTGGTCACAAATATTGTATTAGGCATGTCATGAAAAGAATGCTACAAAATACAATAAAATGTTGTTGCAAGCTTCTGAGTAAAATATTTTGGTCCTTTTTAATTTAAGGAGTGTATTCCTTTTGAATAGAATGGACACAGAAGAGTCAGAGAAGGTGTGTGAATGCAGATTTTCTCCCACTGGAGCGGGAAATTTAGGGATTTTCCAATTAGACATTGTGGTTGATACTTATACCATATTTGAAAAGGTTGCATCCTTACTCAAGGAGGCACCATACGTTACATACACATTGAATTCGCTTGTCCCAGTCATCTTCATATTCAGAGTTTCCCTGGGTATAGCCCAAGAAACTCATCCCTAAGTAACAAGTGCCCTCATGTAAAGTTTCTTCTTCACCCCGGACATCTGTTTTCATCCTGCCCAGTGGATCCCATCAAAGTATTCATAGCACTGGAGATTTCATAGAATCATATGTACCCTGAAGTTGGGAAGGACCTTGAGAGGTGATCTAGTCCCAGCGCCCATTTGAAGCAGGTCTAACTTCAAAAGTAAATCAGGTAAGTCCACAGATGAAGCTTTCACAACCTCTCTAGTCCTTGTTCCAATGTTTCACCACCTTCTGGGGAATTTTTTTTTGCCTTTGGTCTAATCAGAATTTTGCTGTTGCAATTTGTGTCCTTTTGCTGTGCACCTCTGAGAAGAATTGGGCTCAGTTTTCTCTATAACCCCTGTTTACGTAGCTGAAGACTGCAAATAGATTTCCTTTTAGCCTCTAAACAGCCCCAGTTTCCTTCACCTGTCTTTGGAGGTGACCTATGTAGTGGTCCTCCATTGGATTCACTCCAAACTTTTCTCATAGCAGCAGAGGCCAAAACTGCACACAGTACCCCAGAGGTGGCCTCCTGAGTGCTGGGCACAGGAGACCTAACCTCACTGGTACTTCTCCTTGTCTAGATTCCAGAGATGGTCCTCACAACTGTGGCTTTCATACTTTTGGGATGCCGGGAGAACTGAGAATAGCTCTGAAAGGGGCCTGGTTTACACTACTGTTTCCAGATCCTCAAATAGATAGTATTTCTGGGTAAAGTGAGGAAGAACAGATTTTGAAAGCTGGATATCACAAAAACAGCCTGTGCCGTTCCACCACTTAATTCCTTTAAATTCGATCAGAAACAGGCTTGTAAAGGTCTTTCTTCCTGGTAAGCAGCTTACCTGGTATGGATTCCACCTTTTTCCTTGTTCAGAGCTGTCATAAACTTGAATCTAGCCATTTCTCTCAAATCCTGGAAGGATACAGAAGAGCTAGAATTTTATGAAATGTGCACTGGAGCTCTTGCCTTCACAATATTTTTATGCCTCTAATTTAACCCTTAGCTTCCGGAAGTTTGTTTAAAACTACGAAAGGTTTAAAGTTAATGGGATAAAGAACTTTCCTTGCTATAATCAGCAATCAAAAAAAGTATTACATTACAATGATGTGTAAAAAGTTCTTTTTCCAAAACATACAGTCTTTTTTATCTTATTCACCTTTCCCAGAGGAGACAATTGCATAACCCCACTCTACACTGAGGACTCCTCTATCCTCAGTATGCCCTACCTTATCCTTGCCTGCTAGTATGTCTCTCTAAATTAAAAACAAAAAACAAAAACAAAAACCAAGCAGGTGCATGTTTAAAGTAATTATTTTGTGGTGACTGTTCTATAATGCATCTCAGCTGTTCCTGCCACTGAGGAATTATTGTTACATGTCTCTTTTCTTATTCCTGGGGAAGGAAGGTTGTGCTCCGCATTGTGGCAATACAAACCTTCCATGTTACAAATGTCAGCATTCAGAAATTTTTGTCCTAGAAATGTTCGTGTGTGAATGAGATGTGAAATGTGAATGACACCTACATTCTTAAACACTTCTATGAAAGAAAAATGAATACCTGTAGAAAAACATACATGATGTCGCCTCCTTTAGCAGTGTGAGTTCATAGTACAGAAAACTGCACAAGAGAACAAATTATCGTTAGATTTGGCCTAAAATGAAACAAAAATCAATTAAATGACACATTAAATTTATTAATTTTTGCTTGCTTTTTAAATTGAAATAAGTTTTGAGAAAACCTTGACTCAAAGCTTCTAGGTTGAGAACATTTTTACCAGATAGACTTCAACTTGATTATGTTGATATAATAATATATTTTTTCTTAATGGGTGATGTTACCATGTTCCATTTCACAGAGGGTATGAGAGATTTTTGAATTCAAAATGCATGTCTCTATTCCTTCACCAACAAAGTGCACTTGTCTTTTGACTCTATTTCACTTTCACTTATGATGGTGTAAGCTGGGATAAATTCCAGCAAACTTTAGGCTTCTGTTATTTTGGACTGACACCAAGAAGAACAAAACGTACCCTTTGAAATCGTAACCCACAAACCACTGTCAGCTTTTCAGTGAGTTCTTCATTGAGGATTCTGCACTGTACCTGAGAACAATTTTTTCATGAGATGTCACTGCCCAGGAGTGAGGAAGCTACATTAAATATAGGAAGTATTAGACCAGCTTGACTTGCAGGACACCTGGGAGATGGGTAGGCCAGTGGTTTTAAGTGCAGTTGCACTCAGGAATGAAGAATGATATTAGGAAAATATGT